GTAGAGGCTCTGAGGTATAGAGGAAACCCCACTAGACTAAGAGGTCAGAAGATCTGGGTTTGTTTTAGGTCTTCCAAGTGCATGGCCTTGGGCAAGTTCCTTCGCTTATGCAGACCTCATTTCTTCACATGTATGCTATAGAATAGTCAGGACCAGGAGCTGATCAGAGACAAGGTCAGAAATGCAGAAAAGCTAATGAACAGGTATCACTGTAGAATTGTTGCTAATCAAGGTTGTAAAAATCTTTTGCTTTTATCTATATACTCCATCAAAATAAAGAATGAGATATTAGCCTGTATTGCCCTTTGTGTGCCTAAATGCATAGTAACAACTACAATAGTTTTATGAATGACTTATACCCTCCACAGTCATAAGTAGTCAGTTCAAAGTTCAAAATATAAAAATTTACTACTCCCAACTTGCAATCACTATTTTATCCAGTTGTTTAACTATCTTAATCTTTGGCACAACATTCTGTATTCCTTCTGGTGCTTTGTCCTCAGCAACTGGAGAAATGAAGACCGATTAAATTTGTTCCCCACTTGTCTGGAGTTTTTCCTACAATATTTGTGCCCTCCATGACATTAATAAGTGTTTGTTGACTGACTTACCTGCTTCACAAATGATAAGAAAAGCTTTGGGATTTTAGCTGTGTTTTATATTATCAAATTGATAGCTATTCAACTAATTTTTAAATCCGATGGGCAAGGATTTATTTTGTACAATAATCAACAGAATACCCTAGGTATTTTGGCCCTATTTGATGATAATGAAGATAAAAATTCCAAGGAGGAAAAAAATGAATATGTGAAAATAAGTATTCCAATGACATAACTTTGAAAAAATCTTTTTTGAGTATTGAAGCTAAGTATAAAAAGTTAAAGGGAGAACAAAGGCAGCAAATGCCTTTGAGTGCCAAGGGAACCAGACAAAAATTAGAAGATTGCATTTTTATCTGTGTGCTCTTGAATAAATAACTTCATTTCTCTGGCTCTCTGTTTCCTCATATGTAAAACGAAAAGATTGCATTAGATGTTCTCTAGGGTCCATTCTAGATTTAGGATCCGTTCTTAAAACACAATTTTAGGTCATGACAACAATGATAAGAAACATCGTACTCATACATGGGACGTGTACTGAACACAGAGCGTGTGGAGAGAGGTGTAATTGCCATCCCCTCCTTCCCAGCATATTGCTAAATCTCTGTACAGAAAAGTCACGCTATCCTTTTCATATGGAAGCAATGTTACTGACAGACTCTAAGTAGAATATATTGAGTTATTTTTTTAATGGTAGTGAGAGATTTACACTGATGCTTTTACTAGCTAGGTATCCTTCAGCAAATCACTTAACCCTCAGTGCACCTTAGTTTAGCAAAGGAGAGTGGATTGGATCTGGAGTCAGGAAGACTTGAGTTCAAATCCTGCTTCAAACACTTACTAGCTGTGTGGACTGGGCACATCGTGTGCCTCGGTTTCCTTATCTGTAACATGGGAATAATAATAACATCTACCTCTCAGGATTACCTTGAGAATCAAATGAAATATTTGTAAAGCACTTTGCAAACCATAAAGCATTATATGTCCTCTGAGGTCCTTCCTGGCTCTAAGATCTATGGTCCTATGCCTTCCTACTCCAGTCCCCTCTATGAGCTGCTGCATAACTCACATAATAGCTCCTATGGTCTAGGACCAATTTGTAGCTTTGGATCAGGGTGAAGCTAATTTGACCATATATGATCAACTGTGACTTCTTTATCACTATTTTATAAACATTTGAACTAAATTGGCTATTGATTAAAGAGAATGATTCCCAGGCAGAGATCAGATGGGAGAACAAGAAAGTAGGAGGAAGAAAGCAAGAAGTGACCATACCACCTATCTCACTTTCTAAAGAAGTGAAGAAAATAAAAAGGTGGTTCCAAGACCTCTAATCAGTGACCAAGGAACCCATGATCAATTTGAGGTGCCTTTCATTTCTTCTCAGTTTGATAATGAACAAGATCATTGCTACAACTACATCTAGAACCCATCTTAATAACTCTTAATTATGGCAGTTCCAAGAAATCTACGGTAACTGGAGAGAAGGCTCTGCAAATCTTTAACCTAGCAAATTTTTCACAAACCCTAAGAATACACAAGCTGAGGATAAATTTATGTTCTCAGCTTTACTCTTTACAGAACAAAACAGAAGATAAGAAATGTTTGGTTTTCTCTTCTAACCTATGATACAACAGGGATCCAGCTCAAACACTTAGATTGTTTGTTTGTTTTTAATAAATCTTTGTATTTTTTTAAGATGGACAGGGAATACTTTTTGATTTAATAATGAGATCCTCTTGTCTCCCATACAATAAAGGATACTTTTCCCCCTGGAGTTAGGAAGACCTTAGTTCAAATTTAGTCTCAGACACTTACCATCTATATGACCCTGGGCAAGTCACTTATCCTCTGTCTGCCTCAGTTTCTTTGCTGTAAAATGGGGGAAATAATAGCACCTGCCTCTCAGGGTTTGTGTGAGGATCAAATGTGATAATATTTGTTGAGTTTTTAGCATAGTATCAGGCAAATGCTTCCCTCTTTCCTTCCATCTCTCATACCACAAGTGATTTTTTTCTTGATTTTTGCCTTCATGTTGTTTGGAAAAGAAATTAAGCTTTTTTGTTAGCCCAAATTGGAATTTTCCAAATGTTTCAGAGGATTCAAATCTTTCTTCTTTGAGGTTCATCCTCCTTATAGGATCATAGATGAAGAGCTGGTAAGGGCCTTAGAGGTCCTCATGTTTAGTTTCCTCATTTTACAGATAAGGAAACTAAGGCCCAGAGTGTTTAAGTGACATGCCTATGGTCATATAATAAGTAAAGGTCTGCTGCAGGATTTGAACCCAGATCATTCTGACTCCAAATCCATCATTCTAGCCACTGTCACACCTACATAGTAATATTTATCTATATTTAAAAGAATTTTGATATATCTTTTGGAGCAATAATTTTTTTTTGCATTTTTGCCTTAAAAAGTATGCTTATTAACAGTCTTAAGGATCTTGTTTCATCATCAAAAGTAGTTAATTTTCCTTCTAAAGTTTCATAATTGTACATCTTACATTAATCATCAGTTAGAAAAATGTACATGTATGTGCAGACATGTGCATTGATATACTTTATATGGAAAGAATATTTTTATAGACTAACAAAGGAATCTTTAAACTTTTATAAGTAGTTACTTTAGCAGGTACATAGATGATAAAGAAAATATGTTGATTATATTTATATATACATTTATTGCATATCCTATTAACTGTGTACAATTCACCTTCATCTAGGTGTTCATCTTTTGTGCTCAGGGAATATCAAATAATATCAATACAAATAGCTCACTAGTTCATTCTTATAGTGGAAAATACTTAAAGAATATACTTCCTTCTGCAGTGTGTATCCCTGAATCTAAGCATCTCGTTTACTGAGAAAGTCTAAGCCTCCTCCTCAAAGTCATTAAAAATTTAAAAATATGGAAACAACTGTAGTTTCATCAGTGAAACCAGGCTATGGATGCTGAAAACAACTGTAAAGTTAACAAGGGCTTTAATATACAATCCATAGTATCCTAGACTTACACCTTGATCACAGAGGTCATCAAATCCAACCTCCTCATTTTGTAAGCAAAGAAACTGAAGCCAAGAGGGATGATATGACTTGCCTTGGGTCACACAGCTGATAATTAATAGAGTCAGGATTCAAACCCAGATCTTCTGTGACTCCAAATCTAGTTCTCCTTCTACTGTACCTCACTGCCTCCCCTGAAAACTGAAATCATTTCACCATTTCGCACTTAGGTTGCAACAATATCCATGTTGTGGTTTCAAAGCCTGAGCCATCAGTAAAAATATCTGTGTATCATCCAACAAATAAATTCTATTCCTAGAGCATTTCCACTAATGTCAAACAACATATATAGAGTTTCCATTTAAATCACACATTTGCCCTGCAGTGATCACTTGCCTAAATTATTAGTAAATCAGGAAAAAAAATCTGTGGTATACAGTGGGGTCAGTTGCTGCAACAGACCTCAGCCACCAAGACTGAGATAAGTAGCCTTGTAGTTTAACACACAGCAATAGCTGTCTATGCCTGAACATTTTAAAAAACCCGGCACTGGTGTGTAGACCTAGCCCGCATCAAAAAACTCCTTATCCAATATCTGCATATACTGATAGTTGATTCTAATTAGCTTGGTCTAACCATTGAACTTGTCCTGAAGAAGGTATGGAGCATAAGATGAAAGATGTCCATTAGGTGCTGAGCACATTGGCTTCCATATAATGGTGTGTTCTAGGCATGGGGCACTCAGCTTATACACAGAATCATTCAGATCTTAGTTCAAAACAAACAGGATCACATTCTCTGAAACCATGGCAAAGTTTAAGTGACTTATTCAAAGTCATGTAAGGACCCAAGAACATGAAACTCCCAGACTTCAGCTGATATCAATGAGCCTTAACCTTTTTCTCTGTAAAACACACAGAGGCAAAAAGTAAATAGCTCTAGTATAAAAACTTATTGCCAACCCGCTGGAAAAAAATTTAAAATATACACATATGTACATCTCTTACAAAAGAGGATTGATCAGACCTCTAATTTACTGCAATAATATGAGTTGCTCTCTGTACAATAAAATATCTTATTTAGAATAAATCATCTATCCCTAGGCAACACTGGCTTATTACAGGCTTACTGAATGGCCACATAGTCATTTGTCATATGTGGGGGGGGGAGGAGACCACCACCAAACAGCCCCCCAAAAAAACCCCTCCCCATAGCACAGAGTAGTAGGCCACGGCGGATGGCTTCCCAACCCCCCAAAAAGGAAGTGCAGCAGTACTCATCCTTCAGTGTCTATATGTTATCTGGCTGCAGTTCACCATCTGAGTAAAGCCTTTGCATTCCTATCCACCAAACCTGTTTGGAGTGCTTTGCTTTAATCTGTGCAAACCCACACACTTACAGCCATAAATGCATTTGCACTGAGAATGACTGCTGAGGATGTGAATACTCCAGGTGTGGCTGTATTTTTCACTTCATCGGCACAGCTATTTAGGCCTAGTCTTCTCCATTGGCTTGAAGCTCTGTTCACACCATCTTGGGTAACACATCACATTATTCTTCCTTATAAAAACAAATAAACTCAAATGAGCATTTACAGACAGTTCAACCTCCTGAATATTTTCTTTTTCCCCCAGCATCTAAGTAAGAGAAAAAAAAATCTTCTAACCCACCCAGCTAAAAGCACCCCAAATCAGAGATTCACCTGATCAATTCCTCCATTTCACAGGCCTCCCCCATGTTCCTCACCTCCGCAGATCTGCTCAACCCAAGGGCTCTTTGGTGGTTGGCAACCACTTAGTCACCAACAGTACAGCACTGCAGTACCAACCCACTATCCAGCAACTTGGCTACCTGAGTCGTACCAAGTCAATGCAGTTTTAATTTCCCCTTCTACAGGGCAAGCTACACTGTCCTATGAGGCTGAGAAAAAAAAATGCCTTCACACCTATAATGGCTCCCCTCTGAACCAGGGCATCAGGAATTTAAACAGCTCTCAAGAACGTAGAGCTGGAAATATTACTTCCTAGCTGATTCTGTTAATAACAGAGGTGGTTTTGAGAGGCACCTCTGAAATAACTCCAATCCATTTGTGTACATGGGATGCCCAAGTTTAGAATTAATGGTAGAAAAGAAAACTTAAGTACAAAATTCAATGAGGCATTAAATATTTCATAACTGAGTGCAGAGAGAAGAGTTATAAAAATAATCAGATCTTGGGAAGGATCTGGGGAAGCTGATTTGCAAAATTCAAATACTTGTATTTTACATTTCCCCATCCCACCCCACCCCTAACTCCCACTTGTGTATTTTCTCTATTCCAGGTGCAAGGGTTTCAAATTTTCTCCCCTCAAATAAACTGACAGCAGGATAATTTACTAGTGCACTGGGCAACATGTTGAGAGGTTACACTTTGCAGAATTAAAGTTGGTGCCCACTAAAGCACGCAGGCAGAAGAATGGAATGCCTTATCTGAACTGAGGATTTTACCTCCCATGGACATCACATCATTTGGTACATGCGTCTGCATTGACGTATACACTAGTTTATATTATAATCTTTTTATTTTGTGTTTAGCCACATAACCTTATGTAACATATTTCTATTCAATATGTGACAGTATGTATAGCACAGTGTTCATATAAAAGCAGACTCCCCACAGCATGCCCTCTTCCTTGCCTCCCAAAATAAGAAATAATTCTGCCTTGCAAGGTTTCTACGTAACTGCTGAGGAAAGAGGGAAGAACTACCACCAGCAAAAGCAGACTCAGAGGAAAGAACCAGGAAATTATCCCTGTTCTTGACTCAAAGCTACCTAACACAATATTGGCATGATTGGGGAGGGGGGAGAGATTTTAGTGACCATTATAACCCAGATTTGAACAGATTTTATTAGCCTGACGAATAGGCTAAAAAAAAAAAAGTCCAGTTTTCTAATCCAAATGTCTGTGAGCATTCTAGGGAGAGTATATGAGCCCTACACACTGCCACTGTGACACAGTACTACGGTATTATATTATCACAGACACATGCATCTGATTCTCTTAACAAAGAAGCAATAGATAGGCATGAGTTGTTTGTTCAAAAAGCAAATAACCCAGACAGCAACTCAGGAACTCCCCATTCATGCCAGCTCAAAATAAGTATTATATAATGAATGGGCTTTTCCTATTAACTCTGCTGATATAAAATGTATATTCATTAGAATAGCTTTCTGCATAGTTAAAAACAAAAACAAAACTGGTTCTATAAGGAAGCAGTCACACCTTGTCAGAGCAAAGTGAACTGGGTAATCTATATATCAAGATGACCTATAATCTTTTAAATCTCTGTTGTCATCTCATTTAAAAAAAACTGCTTGACAAGAAATTATGTAATAGAGGATTGTTTCAGGTGACTATAAACTGTATATGATACATTAACAGAGCAGTCAGCTAACATCGGAACGATGCTTGATCTCAGCTCCATGTTTCCTGCATTGCCTGTTAGGCTTTTAGTAATGGGGAGAGGGGGAGGGAGAGAAAGAAGGGGGTAGTAGGAGGGTCGAGGGAAAAGGCTAATGAAAATTCTTACCGCCTCCGAATCTTCAAATCCATGCAGGTACAAATTGTCGTACATGGAGCTCTGATAATCCAAAGCACCTCTTTCAGGACAAAAGCAAAATTGCTACAAAACCACAGCTGGGTCAAAAGGTAGAAAAGGCCTGTGCTGAAGTACTGAGCCTGCCTTATCAATTTTCTGTGGATTCTCCAGCCAAGATGCTACTCCTTCACATCCTAGAGGGAAAGGTTATCCCTAGAGGCAGTCCAGACCTGGCATTTTATCTGCCTTCCAAATACAGAGCATAAAAGCAAAACCCTTCCCGAACCAAGGACTGATGACAGAGCCAGGAAAGAGCCCTCTGATTGGCTCAGCAACCCTGCTTCAGTCACTTAGAAGAGGCTTCTTGATAGTGGATGACGAGTCAGAGGATTCTACCTAGCCAAGAGCTCTCTCCTGCTTCCCTTGTGTTTCTCTACACACCATAAATACTTATCAAGATCCAAAAGACGGTTTGGAATCACAGAATGGTTACTGCTCTGAGCATAACTGTTCGCCTTTATTAAACTCGTAATTTGGGAGGGGGAGGCAGGGAGGAGCGAAGGGAGGGACCGCATTTCCAATGAACACAGTGTAAAGAGGCAGGAGAACATACATTAATCTGCATCCAACATCTTTACTTCACAGATAAACTGTGATTTAAATAAAAAGGGCACTAAGTCATTTCAAACAAAGTCACAGCAGGAAACAGATAGTGAGATGTCTTTCCGATGGCTCTATCCTTTCTAAAAATCACTATGCCTTGCTAGGGGGTGGGGAGTGGAGTGAGGGTTGGAAAGGGGTGTGGGGGAAGGAAGTATGGGGGAAGAAACAACTCTGTGACCCACCTGGTGAGGTCTGAAACAGAAATCAGCAGTCTCTTCATTTATTTAGACACCGATGTTTTAACTGTTTTTAGGGATTTGATTTTTCCCCTCCTCCCAGCTACAGCCAATTCAAATGTAAGAGCTTAAATTAATTCCCCCTTTTTCTTTTCATATACAAATCTCAAATGCTTTTATTGAACTGTCTTCATTCCCAGAGAAAGCCATCAACTAAAGCTTTCTGTCAATCACCAGGGAAAGTCAAGTCTTCAGGACTTCTAAAAGAAGTCTGTATGGCCGAATGAAAGAATTCCAAGAGGGACCGAGTGTAAGACAAACCGAGGCAGCATGACTCAGTGGGAGTAAGCAATGACCTAGAAACTCAGAGACTGTGATTCCTAATATCGACATTGCAATTCACTGATTTGATGATTCTGGGAAAGTCACTTAATGTCTAAGGATTTTGTCTCCTCACCTGCCAAACTGAGGTAAGAAGGTAGCAAGAGGAAGCCCTGGGAAGCGCTTTGCAAATCTGAAGTATACCATGTACACTCATCCACATCAGCCTGAATACACTGGCTGCAGTCTCCAGTGCTTAGTGCAGTGTCTGAGAGGGTTGACCCCTGTAGACTAGGGCTCAGACCTGAGACCTGGGAAATGGGACCTATTCTTCAAATGGAATATTTCTGAAAACATCAACCCCCAGAGACAAAAAGCAGAGTCACATAAAGCAACAGTCACGTAAAGCAATAGGCCTCACCAACAATAGCTATGATAACTAAGGAGAGCACAACTCTTCCAGAACTGGTACTAACACATTAGTCTTTTTCGATCAACCACATGCCCAGACCTGGATTAAAACACCATCGAAAGCATCATTTTAGAAAAGCAACAGATTGAAAGAGATTTACCTACCCTGACAACACTATGGAGAAATGCTAATGTTCTGATATGCATACTAAATAAAGTACAGTAGAAAACTGAAGCAATTGGCATTGAGTTCCAGAAAGAGAAAAATCAGGAGGCCCAAATTCTAGTTTTGACTTTGCTGCTGTGTATCCCTGAAGAAGTCATTTCATGTCTTCACCTCAGTTTCTTCATTGGTAAACTAACCTAATTACAAATTAAATAATTATCAGGTCTCTTCCCTAAGTATATAATTCAAACTATATACATATTCCATATACATGTAAATACTTCCAGAAAGTATTGGTAGGGTAGGGTCCTTCTACCACCCTGTCTCCATCTTAGTGGATGGTGTTCATGAGTTCCCTGAACGTCAGAAGAAAAATTTACTGCCTAATAAGCTAACTTTGTTGATGATGAGTGTCTCCCAAGTTAATCAGGCTGGCTTTTACACTACACATATATTCTTTTCACTGGATTCATACTAGATGTTTTTCCAGCTTGGTAGGACCTGCTTGGCTTATGGTTCTGCCAGTGTAAGAAGCCTGGGTCACCCCTGTGCCATGAACAAGTTATTGGAACAGAATTCTAAAGGAATTATCTGGATTATCTGCATAATTCAAGACAATATAATTTTAGCCAAAGATATCCCAGTAATTAAAGCAAGAATGTTTTTTTTTCTCCTTGAATCATCCATATAATTGCTTCAATTTACCACTTCACTTTGAGTGTGTAGACACAATCTACATGTCTCAGAGTGTCTTAAAATAAAAACCTAAATTAGGATAAGAGGAAGAGGGGAGACATTTCTGAATTTTACCATGGTTTTGAAGAGTATTCCCTAGAGTGAAATCTATGTGGAGGTTTAATTCATATCCTATTTTGTGCTGCCTCAGAGCTTTTCTTATAGCTATAAGGGGGCCTAAAGTAAGATCTAAGTAAAAAGATGTTAACACCTTGAAGTCAACATATGTTACATTTCTCTCTGTGTATCCCTATGCTAGGATAGTGCCTAGTACATAGTAGGTGCTAAATAAATACTTGTTGAATGAATGAATAAGTATTTACTATAGAACGTAGTGAAAATGTTACCAATCCCCTATTAGAATGTAACCTCCTTGAGATGAGGAACTGTTTTTGCCTTCTTTATTTTTCTAGAGCTTTACAGAATGCCTACATATATAGGAAGCACTTAATAAATGTTTGTTACTTGATGCAGAAAGTCACAAGAAAATCTAAGTCTGCTGTGACCCTGAATGGAGGATAGAACAAAAATTAGGTATAAAATTATGGTGGGGAGAATTTTAGAGGTTTTACAGCTGTTACTCATTTCAATTCAACTCAATTATGGAAGATAATAAGAACAGCAATTGTGTTGGTAATTCTCTAATTATGGAGAATTTGAGAGAACTTGGAAACTATAGGTAGCTATAGAAAGCCAAGTTTTAAAATGTGACTGTAAGAGTGAATATAGAAAAATGTAGCCCTCTTTGTCTAGCTCACTCTCTTCTTGTTTATCTCATACCAAACCCTTGGTTCCTGATCTGTAGACCTTGCCTTCCACTAGCAGCCCCAGTCTTGACTGTGCTCCTGTACATCTTCTTTACACAGCCTGGCCTTTCAGTTCTCTGATGAATAAAGCTGGCTAACGATCTTGACATTTGCTTCAGACATCACTACCACCAGAGCCCTTTCACTTCCAAATCCTATATCTCTGGCCATCAAATTCTGTTTGCTCATGAACATTGTGGTACCCCATTGTGGGATCCCAACCCTCACATATAGACATAGTGTACATAGCTACTTCTGGAAACTACATTGCTGAAGCCAGCAGGACCAATACTACTTTTGGTTCTCTCTCCACAGCCTTCCTTGTCTCTCCCACCCTTGCAAAGAAAGTAACAATTCTCAGAAAAATTGAAAGAATTCCTCTGTATTCCAAATTGTAGCCAGACCCCAATACTACTTTTGCTACATCTTTCCAAATGATGGCAAAAGTATAGAGAAATAGCTTATTTAATCTCCAGGAGGCCAGAACCCCGATATATGAATAGAAAGGCATCTGGTGATACTAGAAGTGAGTTAGAAATAAACCTACTTCTCCAGGTTCCTCCTGATAAAAGCCATCTTATTTTAGGACATTGACTACCTACTGACACCTTGAAATTCAGGGTGAATTCAAGAAACTGATTACCCTGAGAGTCTAGAATAGAGGTGGAGAACTTGTGACCTCGAGGACACATGTGGCCCTCTAGGTCCTCAAGTGTGGCCCTTTGACTGAATCCAAACTTCACAAAACAAATCCCCTTAATAAAAGGATTTGTTCTGTAAAACTTGGACTCTGTAAGCCACACCCAAGGACCTAGAAGGCCACAGGTTCCTCACCCTGGTCTAGAATGGGACAAATTAAATCTGGCCTGCAAACTATGACAAAAGTTCCATTTCAGACTGGAGCTAATCCCAGGGTTGCAGTGGTAGTACTGAGCCCTACCCATTAGATTTAAACAGCTCTAAGGAACTTACAGAGACTCATACTCAGAAATGGCAGTGAGTTTTTGGAATTGGTTGGCTCTCTAAACTGGGAGCCATTTTGGAAATTGAAGGGGTCCTGGTGGTAGTTAAGAACTTCTTGGACCTATTTAAGATTATGATAATAATAATAATGATAACAATAATAACTCACATTTATATAACAGTTTACATGCATTATCTCACTTGATCCGTACAACAAAGTTATGAAATAGGTGTCATTATTTTCTCCATTTAACCAACAAGGAAACTGAGGCTAAGAAAAATTAAGTGACTTGCCTCAGGTCAAACAGCTAATAAGAGTCTAAGTTAGAATTTGAACCTAAGTTCAACTCCTGATCCGTTATGACACATTTATTTGAGATCTCTTCCTATCTATAGATTCTTTTCTTGCCACCTACAAACATACCCACATCATCATGATCATTACAAATCCTCACTTGATTGATCCATCACTACTAGCTCTCGTTTTGTATCTCGCCTCGCTTCTCTCACTCTCTTCTAAACCCTCTGCAGTCTGCATTCTGACCTCATCTTTCAACTAAAGCTGCCATCACCAAAGTTACCAATGATCTTTTAACTGCCAAATCTAATGGTCTTTTGTCAATCATCATCCCTCTTCAACTTTTTGCAGCATTTGACAGAATTGATCATCTTTCCTCCTGGGTCTTCTCCCCATCTAGGTTTTGGGGACACTGCTCTCTTCTGGTTCTTCTATCTAATCAACTGCTCCTCCTCAGACTTCTTTACTAGTTTTTCATCCATGTCATGGCCACTAACTGCAGGTGACATAGGGGTGTACCTGAGCCAGCTCTAACTGGATTGTTTTTAGTACGAGTATTTACACCTCAGCAATCCGCAAACTGAGAAATTGGCAAGCTATATATTAAGGCTTGATTTATTGTTTTGTTGATTGTCTAGACTAAAGAGAGTATCAATGCAGATTCAAGTTAAAAGTGTGGTGTTGTTTTGGTTTTTTTTTAACTGGTTGCGCTCCA